TGCTTTTGTCAAATACAGATCATTCTAGCAATAGGATTTCAAACGTCAAAATTCTACCGCCAATCTATTCTTTCTATTGCTATTTGGATTGGGTATTATCAATCAATGGTTATACGTGGTATATTGTTAGGGAGTTGGTATATCTGGTCTTATGTAGATATGTAATATGTGTAATATGTCTTAAGCCAATAGCTTCTTATGTGTGAATCTATTTCAGATGGATGTTCTAGGTTGACTTTTCGTAGATATTGATTAAGACTCTGAGAATGTAATTATTTCAAGAAAGAAGTGGAGACATGTCGAATCTCTATGTTAACTACTATAAATGGAATGAATATGTAATGAACATGTAGACTAGATACTGGTGGCTTAACTTTTTGTTACGTATAATATTGCAACTGGAATAATCTAGTTATTGGACTTTTCATCAAGTACAAATTGATATGGTTTTGGCACTAGCAGAAAAGGACAAAGTAGGACCTTCTTTTTTTTGAAATGGGGTAATCCTATTCAATTGATACACTTTGTAAGTCATAGTCATTAATCTGAAGCCTATTTACGTTCTGTTAGGGTTAGATTGAGAGTCAAATTGCTTTTCCTGAATAAGTCGACTCAACTAGGAATGCTCCGTATGAAGAGTTTGATCTATTTGATCATCTTAATAAACAATATGCCTTAGAGTTGAAAACCCAAGATTCTTTTTTATTGCATTATTTCTTTTTGGTGTCCCTTTCTTTGGGAGTTAGGACTTTTAGGTATTTATTTCACAGGTGAGTCATGTAGGTAGCATTTGGCACCACTTGAGAAATGAAACTTTTGGGGAAAAGTTCATTTAATGATTATTTCCATGAACAGTGGTGAAGGGAGAGCAAACAAAGTTAGGTAAGAAATTGGAAGAGTACTGCTGATGCATGTCAAGTTTGTAGGCCTTGAGTTGCAGGGAAAAACAATCAATGTAAAAACGAAATATGCTGCCTCTCCTTGATTAATATCACCTAGCAGGTGCATGAAGGGGGGGAATTTTGGGTCAAGTAAAGCTTGGTAGAGTCACGTCCCAGCATTTCTGGGTAAGCATCATTGCTGTAAAAAGAGTTGTGATCCTTGTAGACCCTTGATACAAACATTGGTAGTCAGTTGAATTACTTTGTGGAGGTCAGATTTCTATGCCCCTGCTTAAATGGTATGAGGAGCAGTTTCCACATGGTAGAGGTGGATCTATCTAAATCATTTTGAGGCAGACCTCCAGTAGCATTTTGGTGAAGTGTCTTATGAATGTACTAGGAAACTCATAGACTTTGGCAGTGGAGGCATCAGATGAAGTGTATATGAAGAATTTGAGATTCTAGTCCAGTTAATGTGTATCTAAAATGGTTGGTTATTTAAACCCAACACGTGAAAGAACTACTATGTACCAGATTACATCATCTTGGGATATTCCCTCACATGTAAAACGGGAACTTAGTTCTACTCAGGAATTTTAATCTTCTTGCAAGGCTTTTGCCCTCTGGCACTTTAAGCTTTGGTATCTTGGATCTGGCTTTGTTGCTGTAAAGATTGGGATATCAAAATGCCAGTATGTGCTTTTGCCTTTTGCAGTTCCTTCAGCAATACAGACTGCTAGTTTGAATTTAAGAGGGGTACAGCATGTTCTGAATTGTCGCATCTTTTTTTAAGAAAGCTAAGGGAATGTTACTTTGTTTTTGATTAATACCATGATTTTATGGAGAAATCTTATGTTCATTTGCAACATAGTTACTCAAAAGTATGGGATACTGTTTCCTATTAGCTAGTTTGTCTTTCTAAACTATTCTAAGAAGCTGAAACAGATTAATGACAATTGTTACTGTAGATGCAATAGTAAAGTCATACATGGGTTACAGTCTATGAGCATGGAAAACCACAAAATTTGGACATGACAGACTATGCTCCTTATCTGAAAAATACACGGTTTACAGACTATTTGAGTACTGAAAACCAGAAATTTGAAGTTGAGAGAGGATGCTCCTTTAGCCAAAATATACATGTAACTGTTTAACACGTAGTTTGCAGAGCATTTGAGTATGGAAAACTGGAAAACTTTAAGATCAGGGAGGATGCTCCTTTACCTGAAACATACATGCAAGTGTAATAATAGCTGGCGGAGAAGTTTACTGATATCTATGCTTTCTCCTGAATAGAAGGTTTTGTGGTTGTGGAGAAGAGTCTGGTTTTTTCAGAATTTTTCTGCTTCCTTAATTATTTTTCGGTGATTTCTTTCTCAAGTTTCGGAGGGAAGTGATGAAGGGGAGCCAAAGCTGTGGATAGTAAAGTAGCTATTATACTGAATAAAAAATTTTAGAAGAAGAGCATTTGAGCACTCTTGGATCTTAAACTCTGTCTAATCTGCTTCATATGTTTTCTTTTCTTGCCTAGGATATCAGCCATATAAGTATATCAAAGGGCTTCAGCAATAGATGTAAGACTTTGCTTTCTGTCTGTGTGCTGCTAGTTGGATTGGATGACTTGCATGTCATTGAATTTACAAATGCCAGATCAAACTGCTTTACGTCATTGTATTTTTGCACTCAAGTATAAGCTCATTTAATTGTTCAAGTCTTGCAATCACACAGGTCATAAATTGTATATGGAAGCACCCTGATGCACCCAGAGTGTATCTGACCTGTGACCTTCTAGGCCAGGAAGAAATTTTGGTGTATATATCTCAAACATTTGGCTGCAAGATATATGTTGATAAAGTGCAAAATCCTGGATGTTATCAGGCTCTAGAACTTACAGTTCCTGAAATTCTGTCACAAGATTCATCTTCACGTTTCCAGATATTTGACGGATTTCCCAAACTTTGTGAAAGAGCAGAAGCCAAGATTGCCGAGGCACGTGCTAATTTTCAACATGAGCCTCTAGTTTTACGTCCTTCTGCACAGTGGTATGCATGTGAGGAAGGATATTCAGAGGCTGAAAATCGAAGAAAGAGAATACATGATCAGGCTGTAAGAGATATTTCTGGTGTTTGGCATGTGTGTTACTCGATACACTCATCCAGGGAAGAACTAGATTGGGCTTTGCAGCTACTAGCACCAAAATGGGTTGTCTCAACAACACCTAGTTGCAGGGCCATAGAACTAGATTATGTAAAAAGGCATTGCTTCAATGCTCGAACTGCTTCAGATAATTCCTTCTCAAAACTCCTGAATATCACTCTGGAGGATTCTTCAGCTCCGGAAACCACACCAAGTTTGGGTTGTTTGCCTATTATTGAAATACCTAGTAAAGATGATTTGGAAACCCAGCCCCAATCAATGCTAGCATCAACAAGCCACAGAAGATTATTAAATTTGTCTCCCCCAAGCAAAAGACCATCTGTCACATTATTTGGAAAACCAAGGGCTGGAATTCAAGATTCTATCTTCAAGCATGAGAAGGAAACGGTTACAGAAGATGATTCTTCACAGAAAACAAGTGAAGATACTTCACTTAGGCAAGTGGAAGTTGTTGAAGTGGAATGCAGAAAGTCATTTGAGGAAAGCAGAGAGGAAGAAGACAGGAAAATAAGCGAGTCAACACAAAGAAGAAAACGTGCTTCTGATTCACCAATTGGATCGTCAAAGAGCTTTAGTCAAAGTTTGAGGAACTTTTATAGGTCCATGAATGTATCAGTACCTCAGCCTCTCCCATCCTTAGTGGAGCTTATGCATGCCAATAAATGCTCCAGGAGAAGATTCTAAATCCAAGTCTTCTGAGTATCATGGTGGATTTTAAATTCTCTCTGTAATTCAGACCATTGAATTTATGCTTCTCTCTCAAAGGCAGCAGAAGTTGTGTACACGTTGCAATTCTGGCTCCTTTGGCATTCTCCATTGTTTCAAGATTCAGATGCCATTGTGCTTGACAAGAGAAACAGATACATATATACATATACATGGAATTGTTTTGGTAGTATACCTTCTGCAACTACCCAGTTTCCTTCCTCTTTATGTTGTAAGTGCATTTGTTTTTAGTATACTTGATTTGAATTATTCAAAAGTTAGCGTATTTCTCAGCACCTTGTGATTTGTACATGATTAACTTGATATTTATTCTGTAAACCCCATTTTTTCAATTGTTTATCCTATCCTGAATTATATTCTTTCTATTCATGATGCATTTTAATCTGCGATTGTACCATATGGACAGTTTATAAAATCTACAGCTGGTTACGGCTTAAAGCTGACTTTGTATATGCTTCCGCAGGTATACCTTGCGAAAGATATGCTTGTAACTGTCTTCACTGAATTCTTTTTGAGCCAACTTACAAATACGAGTGAGCTAAACACCTCTGTTTGGATCCTTCAGTTTTTCAAAAATTAGTTTTTCAAAAATTATAAAAATTTTTAAAAAAAAATCTAAAAAGTAGTCTAAATTTGTTTTAAACAATATTCCAAAATATATTTTGAAAACTCTACTACTCTTAAATATTTCAATATATTTTCTAAAAATATTTCAAAATATACTCTAAAAACTCTGTTACAGTAAAATTTTTTAAAAACACTTCCAAAAACAGCTAATCCAAATTTGGGACTTTGAGGATGTTCAGAGCTGATGAATTTATTTGGTAGAAAACTTGGCAACTAAAAGCAAAAAGAAAAAGAATCAACACTACATGCCTCAGTGGTTCTGCATTGCTATGGCAGATAATCAAAAGTAGGGCTCACACTCATACATCAGTCATTGCTACTGCAAAAATTTTTTCTGCTTTAAGTTCAGAGTACATCTAAGTACTTCATATTTTTTCAATGCCACTAGATGATGTTGCTGCTTCTTGCATGACGGCCGTCAATTTTCTTTTTTATTTTTTTTAAATAAAAAATGTACTCTTTCTGTTCTAGAACTATGTGGTTTGCTTAACAAAACTGTATATGAAATGATTTTTTCTGCTTGACATAAATAATGCGACTCTGCAACCTAATACATTTCATCCTTTGCTGCTGCAATACCACTATAATTCTATGGTTTCAAAAGCAAATGAGGTACAACATATCCTAGTTTATACCCTCTATAAGAGTTCTTTCAGCTTGAAGGACTTTTTTTGTCCTGATAACTGTAATCTTTCGTTTCAAAAGTAAATGAAATATGGCATATTCTAAATGTTGTTTATACCCTCCATGAAAATGTTTTCAATTGGAAGCATTTTCTTCTCCTGATAAAGCCATTCAATGACCACAAATCAAAGCCACAGTCTCAAAGCAGATAATTTGGTTTACGGTCACTGCAATATTACGTTAAGCTACAATGACTAGTAAGAAAGCAAGAGCCTGTAAAATTCACATGTGCTTCAAAACATGGTATCCTCTCCTAGTTTTGAAGTATTAAGATCACCATTTCTCTGGCTGTGCCTCTGAATCCTTACATTCTTTCATAATCTAGCTTATCGGACTGCAAGAATGCATAACCATAAATCAAGACTTAAAAAAATGTTAAAAAGACAACACAAAATGCAAAAACCATATCCGAATATACTACTGCAAAGTTCTGCAATTGTCAGTAAAAGTTAAGTGCACCAAGGTATTTACACAAGGTACTGAAAAACCTTCCACTATGCTTAAAAAACCATGCTAAGAAAAGAGTTAAAAATGTGAAATGCTACCTTGATAAGCATGTCTGTTGGAAGCCAAGCTGGTGCAGTTGGTATTCCAACCCATCCAATCTGCTTAAGCAAATATTTGTTCATGAGCAGGTTTCTACTAGTCAAAAGTAAAGAGTATATGCTTTTCATTCTTAATTCTCATACCTTTTTTGTTCATGAAACAGAAAATCGCGGTTTGAGATGTAATATCTTTCCTCTACTGATTTCTCTACGTCATAAATCATTTCTTTTAGCAATGGAGGTGGAATGGATTATCTGAAAGCTCTTTCAACCTTATATTACTAAGTTTCAGAAGAATCATGCGAATTTTGCACTGGATGATGACTAAGCAAAACAATTCTTCAGTTTTAATTCATTATGAAGAGACATTCTTCTAAGTTTGTCATGTTAGATTGAATGTTGTAATTTCAAACCAGGGCTAGTCCAAAATTAATGAGAGATGCAAAAAGCTGTACTTACCAGCGCATACTCTCCTGTCTCAAATATCCGAATGTCCAGCACCTAAAAAGAGGTGGTAAAATAGGCAACAGGACACCTGAAATCAGTGTACTGCAGCCTCATTGTATTCCATATTTATTAAGAATTATGTAGCAGAATGAAGATAATACCTCCCCCCTATCTTCATATATGTAGTCCAAACCTTTATAATAAGGTGGATGTCCAACAGATAAGTACTGAAATTTGAAGCAATAACAGTTAGCAGATTATACCTCCTGATAGACAAGAAACTAGAAAACAGCATTTTATCCTGGAAGACAAGACATCAACAATCTGCTGGTCCTTTGCTCATAAATTTCTAACCTGAGATGGGATACCTTACATTCATGTCAGCTTTTCCATAGCCAAATGAGGTTTTCTGTAGTTCAGCATTGCATTGCTGAATCTAATTTTTGTAATTGATATATCCAAAAATAAAAGCGAATCTATTACTAGAACTGAATTTATTGGAGAAACTGAAGAAACAGAAACACTTACATTGATACTATTAAGGTACTTCTCCTTATCCACTCTCACAATCTGCCCCTTTTTCACTGCCAGAAAGAGTTTGCACAACTAAATTTGAACTATTCTTTACACATAATCCAGTAATTTTACAAGATTTTGATCGGTTAACTCACTTGAATATACAGGCTTTTTGGGCTTAGGAGGAGGACTCGTGGATGATGCACGTTGAGAATTGGTAGAAATTTCTTGAGTTTTTGTCTCTGTAAGCTTCTGATCACTTGCGGGTTCGGCCGATTTTTCAGCTTTAACTACTCGTATTCGAAATGGGATTCTTCTTGCTGGCGAGTGTAGAAGTGTAGAAATGTATGAAAATGAGCTCTTCGAAAAGGTTGCTGAGAAAGCCATAGAAGAAAGAAAAAGAAGAAAATGCATTCAATTGATTCTGCTTCAGTGACCCCCCTATAGATAAGGGAGGGAGAAGACCAACGGTCAGATTTCAAGAGAAGACCAAAAATCTGTTGGTTGGCGCTAAATTACCTTTATAATATGCGACTAGTATTTTGCTTGTGCATTAGCATGGAAATTTTTTTTATTGTGATTAATTATAAATAAACGTAAGGCTTAAATAATTCAATAACAATGTTTTATATAAATTATTTATATTTTTATCAAAAAATTATTATACTCCAAATATTTAACTACTAATTAGTCTTTAAAAACTTTTATATGTAAATTTATTATGATGTGATAACAGTCATTAAATGGTATAATTCAAAAAAAAAAAGAAATAACAGGTGTTCTTTGAGATAGTAATTAAATTTTATCATAAATATGATTATACACCGACTCATATTCATTTTCAATTCAAGACAAAAGCAAAAATATAATAATCTATTTTTGTATGAATGATTTATTACTGTTTATCAAAGTTAATAAGTTTATCAATGTGACAATTGCATTAACTGTAAGCCAATTTATCATATATGGATAAAAAGAATAATTCACATTTATCAAATAAGATAAAGGCTGTCAAAAGTGAGAGAAATTGTAAATAAGTTGGTTGGAAAAGAATTAGATGCAAAAATGGGTAAAACCCATGTATTCATTGACCCATTAGTTCTCTCTAAAGACTCTAATTAGGCATGATACCTAGGAGAGAGAAATTACTTAATTGAAATAATAAGTTTCATATACACATATATATGTGTGCGTGTGTGTGTGTCTCTATACATATATATATATATAGATTGTAAAGTACACAAATTAATTTTTCCTATTATGATAGTGTAAATTCATGTTATGAATATCAATAGTAGTATTAATATGGATTAATTTTTTATATACTGACAGTGTATACGCTTTCACCATTAGATGCATGACACATAATCTGAATTTAAATTTGAAATTCAAATTTTGTATATACTATATATCCAACCGTAATAGTATACTATATAAGAACGAGTTTAAAACTAGATTTCAACCGCAGGGATGAGGCTATTTTGGGAATGTGAGAGTGTTTGAAGAATAATTGGAACATTGAGTACAAGTCATTATAGGTTTAATTTCACTATAATTACTTATATAACCTTTCAGACGTTTAAGGTTAGGGATAGGTTTGGTATGTTATAATGCTTGGTGTAAGTTGAGTATCAAGTACAACTGAATAAAACTTGTATTTTGATAGAATTACATAAAAGTCTTTTTAATCATTTATTATACTAACATCCAAGCTTTCCAATTTCCTGAAACCTTTCTCATCTGTTAAGGAATTAATTGGATGTTTACATAATTTGATTTTAATTAAAATTAATTAACTTAGTTATTATCTGAATAATCATTATCATATTTATGTCCCCATGTTTAGCCGATACCCTTTCTTCTTTTTCTGTTTCACCTCTTTGATTTTATTATGGCTATTAAATATTTTGTGGAATCCATAACTTTTCTTTTAAATTGAGATGAGTTTTTTGGGTTTATCTTCTTCGATTGTAGTTTTTTTTGGGTTTGTTTTCTTCGATTGTAGTTTTTTTTCTGATGATTGGTTTATTCAAAAACTCCATATAGTTTGCCTTTTGATACTTCTAATTCCAAAAACTGACTAATTATATTGTTTTTCTTAGTAGATTCCCAAGATTCTGTCTCTGGTCAAAATACAATTTGAGATAATGTTGTCACTTTCTAAAATAATCAGAAAAGTAATTTTATCATCTTCTCCTCCTTAGCCAAGGTATTATCTCTTTATTTAAGTCAAATAACCTTATTTCTCATGAATTTTCTTTTATTATTCTTGACTCCAGGGATCTGTTGACTACATTCCAGCAGTTATGGTTCAAGTAGTTATTTTTTCATGTAATATGATTTGGAATTCAGCTTTTATTTATTTTAATTGGGAATGCTATGATTGTAAAATTTATTAACTTAGAATTTTGTACTTCATTGAAACTAAAACAGAAAATTAATCATGCTACATAGTACTAAGATGTCATTTGTACTCTATTTGCTTTCCGTGTTATGATCTCGTTCTTGTATTATATTGTTTATATAGTTTCAAATACAAAAAATTTATTTTTTTATACTCTATAAAAGAATTTGTAGTGAAACTTGATGAGTTTAAATGCTTTAGCTACAGCACCATTTTGATTGCATTGTATTAATTCATTTACTCATAATTGTATGTTGTACAATTATAAATAATATTTCTTGATTTAATTGAAGGAACTATTATCCATAGTTCAAACGAGTCAATTAAGTAGAGATGTTATATTGGATACTTATACAAGTAAACATTGGAAAATATCATTAAACAGTTTCTACCTATAGTTTGTAATTCGAATTCATATGAGGAATTTCTTCTGATTTTACTTACCATTTTCTATAATTTCAAATTTAGAAAATATTATTTGCATCAATTTTTTATAATCAAGATAGCTTCAATTCAGATCTTTAACAATTATGCAGATTTGAACTTATGTATGAAATTATAAAGAAATACCTCTAGCAAAAAACACCAAATCTGAATAGTTTCTACAAAATTTTGAAAAAAATCAGTTAAGTTTCTTATCTATCTATCATTTTGGGGCATTATTATCTCTGTAAGAAACATGTGATTAAGTTGTATTATACCCACCAAATTATATAAATAGTTAGTAAACAATAAAATTATTTTAGATTAGATTGGACGCAAAGTGATTGATGGATAAACATGACTTGATAATTCAGGTTGAGTTTAAGTCGAGGGAGAAATCAGAAGCATTGCTTGAGGGATCTTTCACGAACATATATAGATTCGAGAGATGAAGGGTCCAATTGATACTTTAAAATGTTTTATCATCTTGGATAAGTTTTAGAAGAGACCTTTGGATACTTTTCAATTGCACTTCAAACATTCTTACATTTTCAAATTACCCTTATCTTTGCAGTTGAAATTCAAACATAACCTTTGATCACAACGGATTCTTATATAGTATAACGATAAAGATGTCTTATTGCACATTATTTTTATTGACTCACTATGTAACTTATGATTTTTTTTATTAAAATTACATGATAAAATCATCATATTTCAGTTCCTATACTACAAAATATTAAACAATAATTATTAATTATCTTAAATCACAAGCACCAAATTCCCGCACGTCGCGCGGGCTGTCCCTCCCTAGTACACATATATAAAATTTACTCTATTAGTATCTACATTGTCTAAAACCACCAAATATAGGAATAAATATTAATTGCAATTTGCAAAGCTATCAAACGTTAAGATGACCATATTCAGATGAGGAAGAAGAAAAAATGGAAAATAATGTGAAAGAAGAAATTGTCCAAGTAAGAGTCTACACGATAAAGGAAACAAAGGCTACTGTTGAAGGACTCAATTGACACTCTACTACAAATTAGAGGGTCATTTCATATTTACCTTCGGTTCTGATATTTGGTTGAAATTGCAACAGTTTGGATTGTTAAACAAAATCTTCTTTTTTTTTTTTTTTATTCCCAAAGACATCTCCCAAAAATGTCTCTACTTTGACATCAAATGTTGAAAATCGAATGTCAATTATGACATTGGGAAATAGATGTACCATTAGATATGTTTATGGAGACAGACAAAATGATACCACTACTACACGTGAAAATTATTATTTTTCTCAATGTATTGTTTTATAATAAATCACGACATTTTCAAAATGTCCATCATTATAAATTCGGTAAATTATAAAAAAAGTTCCCTGTGATAAACCTAATATACAAGAAAGCCCTTTATAGTTTCAAAATATACAACACGACACTCCGTACTTTGAACTAAATTGTAAAGATGATGAAATCCGTTAAATTTAACGAAAATGACTTATTGGAACCTAAAAAAAAAATTTATACCTAATTTTTAACAAATATACCTATTCTACTCCTTAACCCTCAATTCTTTTTATCTAGAGAATAAAACAAATGATTTTTTTGATCTGTCTTATGCTTAATTCTATCAGGGCATTATGGTCATTTCATCCATTTCCGTTAATTTTAACGGATTTCGTCACATTTACAATTTAGTTCAAAGTACGGGGTATCGTGTTGTATATTTTGAAACTACGGGGGACTTTTCTATATATTAAGTTTATTATAGGGGATTTTTTTATTTTTTACCCTTATAAATTTTGCAGCATAGAAAGCTCTTTCTTTTTCAAGTCAAAGAAGAAGCAAGGGAAAAAAAAAAATTCGAGCTACTCCTAATTTTGCTTTCTCATACATGTTCCTCAGCATAATCAACCAACATCCATCTTGCATTCTTTTCTCCTTCTACAGCAATGTTTGATTAATCCCCATTGCCTTCTTCTCTTTCGAACTTCCTTATTCCCCCACCCTCTCTATATACAGAAATTACAAAACAGAAGCAGCACCAGCTAGGATAGATTTCTCGATAATTCTTGTGGACATTTCTCAGGGACAATTCAAAGGTAATATCTTCCCTTTTGAATTATGCATGGTGGAAAATGAAAATGTTGAGAGAGCTTTAAAAATGTAATAAGTTTCACAGGAAAACATTATCCATGTAATTGTGTTTGCAAGTACATTTGTCTTGTTAATATTTACATCTGTTCTGCCAGTTCCTACATCGTTTTATACATTCAAAACTGGTAATCATGAAGGAATTCTCACCAATTGTGCCACTTGAGCAGGTGCTTTCTACAAAAGAACTTGTAGTATCTTCTGTCCTTTTTTTTTTTTTTTTCCGGATACTATAGAATCTATTTTAGATCTATTCCTATTCTATATTAGGGGGAGGGGGAACCTAAAAAAATCAAAGAAAAACTCGAAGGGGACTAAATCACCACCAGCCCATATCGATGCCCACGCACCCACCGGCGAACTTTTCAAGAAAACCTGAATTTTTAGAATGTAGGTCAAGGGATCCCTTGATTTACATCCAAATAAAGTTTTAAAACTCTTTTGGCAGAGTAGTTGGTTTGCATCTTCTGTTGCTTTGATTAATATGCACTTGTGGTGATGCTAGGGAGAGAATCATCTACCGAAATACACCATCATTTCCTTGATAAGGAAAGATTCAGTCTACCATATTAACAATTTTAGACTAAAATATCTCTAGATGACAAAATAAGAAAGCGAAAAACAAGGCCTTCAGCAAACCGGCAAAGCTAATTTTGATCTTTCAACTTTTCACAACCACAGTGGAGGCAGCAAAACCATATTTTCAAATCATGCCTTTTGATTTTCGTTACACCGTGACTGAAGTATGTATAGAGCACAAACCTTTGCAAATAAGACCAACCAAATATAACAGAAAAGATTCATAAGTAAATATAAGATATATTGTAGATTTGTAGTATGTGCTATACTGCTAAAGAAGCCAACGTTTTGAAAACCGGATTGGATCGGCTGTATTGACCAGTTGAACTGCAAACCGATCATGCCTCCAATTTGGTTCAATAAAAAATCCAAAAAATCAAATGAAGTTAAACTCAGTCAAGAACTGGTTGAATCAGTAAAAATTGGGAGATTCAACCAATTTTTATTAAGTATTTATTTTCTAAAATAAATATTTTAATTCTATTCAAAAATTTTAATACTAAAATAAAATTTAAAAAACTATTAAATCTTTAAATCGATCGAATTACAAATCGAAAGGTTTCCGATTCACAATCTAGTTCGAATTTAAAATCATTGTGGGAAGTTAGAAACCTGCTTGAATGACATTTCCTTCGACTTGAACTCTAGAAGGAGCCCCACAAATTATTTAAGGTAAATTTCATATAACCTCCTGCAATCGTCTATTGTCATATGACTCCTCGAATGTTTCAAAACTTCCATTTTACCCTCCTATGGTTTCATGTAAAGAGGAAATTTGATGAAAAATAACCTATGTAATGTTATTAATTGAATTATCAATAATGCTCCTACTTAAATGTTAAATCAATCAACGATTTAACTACCTTATATAAAAGTATAGGAGGATTATGTGAATGAATACAAAAATTATGGACAATAAAGTGGATATTTATACAAATCATAAAAGGGTCATATGGAAATGAATATTTTATCACATGTGCTTTTAGAGTGCCCAAATGCCATAATTAATTGTGCATTCCATCAATTTTTCACTTTATAAAAAATTATAGAAGGTTACGTGGCTATTTTAAAACCTTAGGAGGGTCATCTGGCATTATATAAAATCACACGAGGGTCATAAGTAATTTAACCAATCATTTATCGAGGGTTAAAGCCACTACAGGAACAGCTTGGCTTTTCATCCTCTGTAAGGTAACATTCAAGGAAAAAAAAGAATGCAACAACCGGTCTACAAAGTACAACAAAAATTACAGCAAAGGAGTCCTATAACTACAAGTAAGCCAGAGTCGATCGGTCCTTTCGGAGAAGGTGTCTCGAGCAATTTGGGATGACTCTGGCAATGTCCTCTGTTAGCTTTTGCTAGAAGACCTGGCTCAATTGTTCCACAGACTCTTATCTTCTGTAGCACCTAATGGCAGATCAACCATGCTGATTTTGGTTAACGTAATAGACAGCTCCTGACCTTAAGAGATTTTCTCTCGGACTTCAATACCCATCAGTTCTGGAACTTTTGAATCCAAATTGTATGAATCACCAGCAACAACTTTGAATTTCAGGAAGTAAATCCCCCAGTGACCTGACAGTCTTCGACTTCCCTGTTCCTCTATCACCTATTATCACTACACTGCCAATTTTAGGATCAATCACATTCAACAAGAAGCATAATTTCATCTCATCTTGTCCAACTACAGCGGAAAATGGATAGACTGGTATTTGGCTTTCTGCAGAAACAAGCCTCTGAGCCTGAAATTGAAACAATTCCAGACATCAATGACAAAATTCAACATCAAGAAGCTCCTTCTTCATAATCCATCACAATCTTATAACCCCTTCCTGATTGAAGCTCATGCCTTAGCCATTTAGGCTATTGTTCTCGATCTTGTTTTCAGCAAAATCCCACCTCAAGGAAAAACACCCAAGATTTAAACTGTCATTCACAACTTATGAACATGAATTATCCTGTAAATCTGAAAGTATTCGTTGATATGATCATTAACGTTTTCCAATATGCCAAGAACCTTAAATGGATAATCAAGTAAACAATCAAATTAAACAAAATTACGCAGCTTTCTAGTTAAAATAACAGCATTAATACAAAGATGATAGATGATCAATCATAATTTATGTCAAAACTTCTGAGTAACCTTCTCAGACAAGTTAACTTTTAATCCTGAATTCAACAATACATATTTATTTACTTACAGAAAACATGCATAAACTACAATCAAACAACAGAAAATAATCGTTGATTAAACAATCCTGTTAACCACGTGACGTGCTTTGCACATGGCTTCTAGTGGCTTGGCTTTTGGCATGGACATTCCCGTCCCTTCAGCCATATCAATCTCCTCCCCACCAATTCTTTGCCAATCAAAACACTGAATTAGAGATCCCAAGGCCAAACCAACAACCCGCTGTGCTAGGCCAGAACCAGGACATGATCTCCTTCCCATCCCAAATGGAATCAGCTTCGATGGCTCAACTTGCAAGCCTTCAAATCTCTCGGGCTTGAAGCTTGTCGGATCATCCCAAACATTTGGATCCCTGTGAACTGCCCATGCACTAACTAGCAAGATTGTGCCTCGCGGAATATTGTATCCTCCAATTTTACAGTCATCAGACGACTCGTGTGGCACTAACAATGGCGCTGCTGGGTACAATCGGAGTGTTTCTGAAATGATGTTGTGAAGACAGGGAAGATTGGATAGATCATGTTCTTCGATCAATCGATCAGTCCCTACTTGAGCATCCAATTCAGCTCGAGCTTTCTCTAGCACCTCGGGATGGTTGAGCAGGAGAGACAAGGCCCATTCTAAAGTCACTGATGAAGTGTCTGTTCCAGCCGTCAGCATGACCTACCAATAGCATACCAGTAGTTCAATTGTATGGAATTTCCAATTCAACCGTGAGCCATGACTAAAAGTGAAAGATTATTCACTTACCACTATAATCCCTTTGATGATTTGGTCTGTGTAGTATTCTGGCTGCGATTCCTGCAAAGAAAGCAGATGATCAATCATTGTATTACTATTCTTGTTACGGCGATGCTCTTCAAGTAAGCCTTCCAAGAACGCGTCGAATTTGGTGAAAATCTTCGTCAAGCTCTTCTCAAAGCTTCCATAATCGATCCACCTTAACAGCGGTAGGAAATCTCCCAGGTTTGCTAAACCACTATGTTTAAACACCTGTTTAATGAGCCCGCGAAACTGCCTTGCTTCGTCGTTGTCATCTTCCTCGCCGAAATATCTCTTTCCGGCCACCATCCTCATAATAATGTTCAAAGAAAGCTCAGATAATCTGGATTGCAGTTCGACCTTAGCAAAATCATGGCGGGTGTTTTGAGCCAGTTTCAGAAGCAACCGCCTGATCTCATCTTTCCTGACGGACAAGAACATATTCAAACGACTGGCCGAAAATATTTCCACCGAACCCAGACGGCGAAGATTCCGCCAATGGTCGCCATACGGGGAACCGACCATGTTGGTGTGGTTGTACCCAAAATATTTTCCTATGACAAAGCGAGGCCGGTTGGCGAGGATCACATCGTTCTTGGTGAAGCATTCCTCCACTGCCGAAGGAGATGATACCACCACTACTAGGCGGCTCCCGAACTGGAGGGAAATTACGGGGCCATATTTCTGGGAGAGGCTGTAGAAGGTTCTATGGAGAGGCGGTTTCAGGAGGCGGAGATGGCCTATTATTGGAAGAGCTGGTACTGGGCTTGGTGGGAGGTTTCGGAACCGCTTTGAAAGAAAGCTTAAACTAAGAAAAATGAGAAAAGATGAAATTACTGTGTATACCCAGACAACTTCCATCCTCAATTCTATTCTTAAGCTCTAAAGATAATGTTATGTATAGGGCTTCTAATCGCTCTCTGTATATACTACTGACCATACACTTGACTACCTTGGAGATTGCAAATCAGAACAGGACTTATCTATTTCGAAGAATTTTCTTCATTTCTACCTCCTTCTTCAGCAAAGTTCGACGGAGATTGCAAGTCTTATGATGTGTCGACTTGGGGATGATCGTTACTCTTCGTGAAGTTTGACCCCAGGAAGAAGGGGTCTGCACTGAGCCCAGCGGATACTATAGGGGTTTGAAGCAAAGACAACCTGCAACAGCTAGTGGACTAGTTTGAAGCCACTGATGCAAGAATCCAGCATCAAAAGAGGTATATATAGTGAAAGTTTAACTGGTGTCCTTGTGTTTCTTTTCTTTTCATTTTTTTTTTCTGGTCATGCATTTTCTCTCTTTTTTCATCTCTAAGGGTGGTGTGTTAGCATAAGATACATAGAATATGTGTGATTTGAAAGAAGAGAAATTTTTTCTTTGAGAAGGATTTGTGAGTAGAAGGGAGAGGAGAAACGTTCCTATTCTTGTCAATAGATAGAGAAGGATACTCATGGTCAAAATAAAGAATGTAACGTGATGGTACACTTTGGGGTGTAACACGAGACCGGTAGCCGCCATGGCCCAATGATTGTCAAATTACGTACGAAGCTTAATTTCATCATTGAACATTCGGACTTCGACTGCACTACAATATTTCCCATAAAAAAAGGAAAGAGAGTGATTCCATCCTGTAGCAGTCTAGCTCAATCATGGTGCCATCGCAAAGTACTTCGTGGCTCTTACTTGCTTGGGGTGGTCACTTGAGAAATGAATGCATGGTCCAAAGTCCAAACAACGTAGCTTTCTAAGTCCCCACAATGTGATAGATTAACAACCAAAAAAATAGACCAGTTCCAGGAGTGAACCAGCATCAACATTGCCAAAGCCAGCTTTGCGGACGAGAAGCATTGGAGGAGGACATTTTTAGATTTTGTACTGGTTAATTGGTGTGTGTTTGTGTTGATATATGGCAGTAATTTTAAGACTAATTTATCAAGCAAATCAAGTGCAGATGTTTAACACTGCAGAACATGCAATCTTTTTTAGGGATGGCAATCAGGGCGTGGGGTGGGGTAGGGCTGGGGGATATTTTTCTCCCCTGCGGTTGAAAAATGGGGTAGGGCCGTAGGGGATGAGGGAGTATATTCCCGCCCAGCCACCCATTAAAAAAATTAAATTTATATATACACGTGTATATAATATATTTCATTTAATTAGTTATAAACTTATAATAATGATATTATTAGTTATAGGTATTATATAATGTATATTAGTATATATAATATAATTAATATTATCAATTATGCTAATAATTATACATGTCTACTAATAGAAATTATTAATTAATTATGCTAAATTTACTAATACATTTATACTAAATTCCTAATTACACATAATACAATAACACTTTTTTCTCGAAAAAAAATGCAATAATGACTTAGTGATTGTATTCTATTGGATTTTATTCAAATAACACAATAACACTTTTTTCTCAGACACATTTGTCTCATTCTATTGGATTTTATTCAAATAACTTTTATTTGATTATTTTTATAGGCTTTGATTGTGAAATTACAGTGAATATTGACTTGATGATGTGTTGATATTTAACTATTTAATTTTTGGCAAAATTTTGGTTGCAATGCAATTATAGGATTTTTTTTTTTTAGCCCCCAGAGGGAAGCAGAGTGAGGGATGGGAAAAGGGTCCCCTTCCGACTCTCGGTCCATTGCCATTCCTAGTCTTTTTAGAATTTTTTATTGCATGTTTGTAAAAGACTAACCCAATTATCAAGAATTTTGTTCCTTTTTTTTTTAAAATTAAACTAGACAATGTTACTATCATGACAAAGCCGAAAATGGATTCTTCTATGGACGCAACAAGAGTTCAATCCTAATATAACACATCGAGAAATGATGGTTGGTTAATCAATCATCAAAAAGGAATGAATGACTTATCTATGTATTTGTTGTTCTATCACAATCATTGGAAATAGTGTTAGCATATGGATTTATATTTAACTCGTTTACACCCCTCATAGAGCTTTGTAGCTCTCAGCTAGCTTGGAGTTGGAGACTGAACAAGCAGTGTAGCTTGCTATGGGTTGAAGTCCTGAATTCCTAATATGGAAAGAGTCTAGACTCCTCAAATGAGAGTAAGAGTAGACAGGGTTCTATAGTTTAAAAAAGCATCAAGCGGGCTACGGAGTCTTAAATAAAGGTGCAAGATGGAGACCGAGAAATGGAGTGCGCATCAATTCTTGGATTGATAGGTGGATCTCTGATCAATCCCTGATAGATACAGTAGAAGTGCCATTGCCAGAAGAGGAGGTGTGGTGGAAGGTTAAAGACTACTAAGTGGATTTGGGAGAATGCCAGAATGGGATTGGTCTTCTCTATCAGAACGCTTGCCAGATACGTACTTAGGTATGCTGATAAGCATGTTCACGCAGGTTCTCACAATCCGGATATGCTTTACTGGCCATGTGAAGCTAATGGCATCTTTACCACCTAATCAGCTTATGATGTGAATTAGGAGCTAGAGGAAATGAATGATCTGGATAAGGGGTGGGAAAGAGTTCGCAAACAGAATAGGCTAGGAAGATGGCAATTTTTATTGTGGCTTACTAGGCATAATAGTTTGCTCACAAATGAGGAAAAGCATAGTACTGGTGCATTTTCTCAAAGGCAAGAGAACAGGGAAAGAAGGATTTATGATTCTCAAATTGGACATGTCCAAAGCTTATGATCGGGTAGAATGGTCTTACTTAGGGAGACTAATGTTTAAGATGGGTTTCTATCCTAAATGGATTCAATGGGTGATGGCTTGTATCTCATCAGTGGGGAGAAATCCACTTTTGGTCCTTAAACTTTAAGCTAAGGACGCATTTCGTTCCCAAACTTTTAGGTGCAACGCATTTAATGCATGAATTAATAACTTTGCCTACATTTAGTCTAAAAGTGGTAAATTATTCAATTTGGACAGAGAAAACTCACGTGTCTAGCACGTGGCCGTTAAGCAAAAACAATTTCTCAATCAAAATAATGGCCACGTGCTAGACATGTGAGCTTTCTCCATCCAAATTGAACAATTTACCATTTTTGGATTAAATGTGATCAGAAATTATAAATTTATGTATTAAATGTGTTACGCCTGAAAATTTGGGGACGAAATGTGTCTCTGGCTTAAAGTTTAGCGACGAAAAGTGAATTTTTCCCCTCATCAGTGTCCTAATCCTTTAATCTTAATGAGCAGAAGGTTGGGTTGGTTAGGCCTAGTAGGGGCATTAGATTGGGGGACCTCTTGTCCCCTTATCTGTTTTTGAATTGTGCAGAGGGATTTTCAAACATGATAGATAGGGCAATCAGGGATAGAGGTCTAAAAGGGACAAGTGTTAGTAAAAAATGGTCCTGCTGTGTCTCACTTATTGCAATACAGCTTGTAAAAGAGGTGAAATGGGAAGAGAATTTCCCTCTGTGGCCAGTAGAATTAGCACAGAAAGATACTGAGGGCAGTGGCCCCTTTTTGTAGTTAATAGTTAATACTTGTACTATCAAGTGTTGGTATACATAAAAATGATATTACCGTTTGAAAAAAAAAAAAAAAAAAAAAGAGGAAAAGCATAGAAGACACCTACATGCTACTGGACCATGTCCACAATGCAATAAGGAAATGGAAACAGTTGTTCATGCTTTAAGGGATTGCTCCTGGATCAAGTCCTTGTGGAAAAAAAATGGTGCAACCTTGTGCTGGGGATAAATTCTTTTAACACTCCACTTGTCCAATGGATTAACTGGAATCTTACAAAGGCTGACATTGGTTGTCGGAAAGATATTTTCTGGACACTACTTATTTCAACAACGCCTGGATTGCTAGGAATTGGATAGTATTTGAGAACTCAGAGTCAAAACTCCAAACTCAAGCAGATCAGCTCATGCTACAAGCTTTACAGATACAGGAAAATGATATCTGCTAAGAACAGACATGGGAAACAAGGGGATTAAAATACATTAGTTGACAGCATTACCTCAAGGTTGGGTCAAGCAAGATTAACGTCGACGACGGAGCTGCTTCAGGAAATCCAGCGAGGGCGAGCACAGGAGGCTTGATTAAGGATGACCATGGGAGATGGCTGTCAGGATTCACGTCAAACATTGGACAAGCCAGCAACGCGGCTGCTGAGATTTGGGCAATGTTCCATGGCCTGAAATTAGCATAGGAAAGAGGTTATAGAAAAGTTATGGTTGAATCAGACTCGCAAGTTGGTCTAGAATTGATAAAGATCCCGCAGCAGAGTCCGCATAACAACATCATTATGCTAATCCGAGACTGGATGAAGAAGGATTGGGACTTGGGAGGCCAATGCAACCAAAACCTAGGGAGAAGGAAATTTCTGTGCGGACCTTCTAAAGAAGATGGAACTGAATGTGGACGCTAGAATAGTTGTGTTTGATCACCCCCGGAGCCTCTGAGAGGTCTGCTTAGCCAAGACATCCAAGAGGCATCTACCCCAAGATTTGTAACCCTGCAAGGAAGGGCAGTTCCTCCCTGAAAGCCAGTTGGCTCCGCCACTGGCTAAAGTCCGGGAAACATATGAGCAGAAAATCTGTGAATATAAAGGTTAACCATTTGCATGTAATCAAGGGGAAAGATGCAACGCAACATGATAGAAGGAGGACGCCAGATCCCTTAAAAAAAATATTGAGGCTACTAGACTTTCACAATTTGGGTTACAATCACAAGTTGGGCACAGACAAAATTTTGATCACCACCACCTTAAATCAAGTGCAGCGCTTTGTGGGCACTAAGTCCATCTGAAAAAGGACCTGACCATTACAGCATTGACTGGTTTTTCATGACATGAAATTAACAACTTGTCCAGGAATGCCTTTGGAAAGAGTTATTCCACCATATTGCTACACTTTCTGGAATAGAAATCTTTCTCAAAGACAATCTCCCATAAACGTCTCTATTTTGACATCAAACGTAAAAATGGAATGTCAGTGATAACACTGGCAAAAAGATGCAGTACTATTATATGTTTCTGGAGACAAAGAAAGCAATACAACTGTTACACATGGAAATTATTTTGTTTCTCAATGTACTGTTATTATATATTAAATCGCGACATTTTCAAAACGTCCATCATTAGAAATTTTGCAGCATAGATAGCTCTTTCTTTTCCAAGTCAAAGAACTTAGGAACATGTTCCTCAGCATGACATCCGTCTTGCCTTCTTTTCTAGTTCTAGAACAAGGTTTGACTAATCCCCCATTGCCCTCTTCTCTTTCGAACTGCCTTCTTCCTCCACCCTTTCTATATATGGAAATTACAAAACAGAAGCAGCACCAACTAGGATAGAATTCTTGATAATTGTTGTAGACATTTCCAAGGGACAATTCAAAGGTAGGATCTTCCCATTTGAATTATGCATGGTAGAAAATGAAATTTTGGTAGAACTTTAAAGATGTAATAAGTTTCACGGGAAAACATTATCCGTGTAATTGTGTTTATAAGTACATTTATCTTGTTAATATTTACATCTGCTCTGTTAGTTCCT